CTCCTAAACAGGAATGCAAAAGCCTCAAATGCTTTTGAGGCTAAACTAGGAGGCATCAGAAAAAAGCAAATGTACTTTGCCTCCGCCCCATTCCAAGGGACTTGCAGGTACGAAAAATAAAAGTTAAAGTCGGCAAAAATCAAGGGGATTGATGGGTAATGATTGGCTCCACTAAGATGATGTCAGCAAATGTCCACAAACACCAATGAAGGAATGAAGTCATAATGTGATTTGGTTGCAAAAAGGGCAAATGCTCTCTTGGGCTGCATCAACAGACGTATCAGCTCCAAATCCCATAAAGTCCTGGATCCCCTCCACTCAGCCCTGGTGAGGCCTCACCTGGAGTCCTGTGTCCAGCTCTGGGCACCAGCGTGTAAGAAAGGTGCAGACAAGCTGGAAATGGTCCAGAGGAGGGCAACGGGGGTGATCCCGAGACTGGAGATACAGCCTTGTGAGGAGAGACTAAGGAGCTGGGCCTCTTAGCCTCGAGAAGAGGAAACCGGGGGGAGGTGGGACAGCACTCTTCCAAGCAGGTGGAAGGCAGGATCTCTTCTGGATCATCTCAGAGTCAGGCCTCAGAATAACAGGCCCAGGCGGCAGAAAGGCCGGCCCAGCGGGGGATCAGGGAGAACCTCCTGACCGTGAGAGCAGCAAGGCATGGAACCAAGGACCGGGGAGGCGGTGGGCTCCCCACCCTGAGCGCACTCACAGTGCAGCCGGACAGCCGCCTGAGGGGGATGGCTTAATTCAGGGCCCTGCCCTGATGGCCCCCTGGCCCCTTCCAACTCCGCCATTCTATGAAGCTGCCACGCTGCGCTGTTTGCAAGCAGTCCAGATTGCCACCAAGGCCGTGAAAAGTCCGTTTGGCTGGGTTAGCCTGTATGGCCGCTGCGTATTCATTTGCTATCTTGATATCGTGCCTTCTTCCTTGCAAGGAGCCCAAGACGGCTTGCATAACCTTCCTCCTCCTCTCATTTTAACCGCACAACAGCCCCATGATGTGGGTCAGGCTGAAAGTCCCCCAGTTTCTCCCCACAACTGCCTGGCTTACGTAGCTCCATTTCATCCTCACAGCGGCAATCCTGCAAGGTGGGCTGGGCTGAGAGGCTGTGACTGGCCCAAAGCCACCCCATGAGTTTCACGGCCAATGGGGGGCTGGGACTTGGACCCCCACACCCCCAGTCCAGTACTCCAACCCCCCCACCACACTGGCTCTGCTTAGATATTAAAATTTAGCCATAAACCATGAACACAATATAATACGCTGCAATGTCAGAATGAACAGTGGCACATCGCAGTAATTAAATCCCCACGCTGGCTCGATGGACCACAGAGCGCGCCGGACACTGGCAGGGAGGGGGCACAGGAGGGGGACATCAAGCTGTCTTGGTTGAGGAAGGCGACCGCAGAAGCAGGAAAGTGCCCTTGCCAGGAGGGAAAGGACGGGAGCAGGACGGGAGCCCAAAGGAGGGATGGGCAGGAGAGGCAGAGAGTTGCAGAAAGGGGGCACCGAGGAGTGGAGACCCCTCACCTGGCACTTCTGGCGCCGGTGCCCACCTTGCATGCGTGACAAGGCACAGCAATTTGCGCGGTCCGCTCACCGGAGTCAACAGGGAAGCTCCACGCCACGAACAGCCCTATGATGTGACGCCATGTGCAAAGAAGCCAACTCGTTGCTTGTTTTTCTTATTGCAGTGACATGCTCATGAGTCCCAGTTCATCCCCCACAACACACACACACACACACACACACAGAGGAGAAGCCAACTCCAAAGCTCTTTAGCTTTCAATCAATGCCTAATTGAATGCCTATCAATTCATGGTTTTGGGAAGCCCTTGAGCGGAGTGATGCTCTGTAACAGCTGAGGGCACTTTTTAAAATCGGAGCATCGGTAGAAGCTTGGGCTGCCCCAGGTTCACACCTCACTGACCCTCGGGCACCTGGATCAGCCTTCGCTCTGCCCAGAAGAAGAATGGGAGCGGGGCACTCAGCGCTGCGCTCCTCAGGACCAACCGCTGGCAGCAAGGGGCCGGAGGCGGGTGGCAGGGCGGGCTCAGCCTGCAGCCCTTCAAAAGCAGCGGCCTTCCACAAGAAACGTGTTGGCAGAACAGAGCCGGGGGCCACGGCGCCACGTGGGCCAGCTCACGGGCATCACTCGGCGTGGCCACAGAGGGAGGGAGCCCCCAAGGCCGGTCTGAGCACTGTGCGAGGGCTGCGGCAGGTGCGCGCCAGGACGTGCGGGCAGCCGGCGTGGAGAAGGCGCGCGCAGCAGGGTGGGGCTGGCCGCTCGGCCCCTCCCACATCCTTTCGACAGGCAGGGAGGGCTGCAGGACTCCGCAGAGGACTGCAGGCGTGGGGAAAGCTTCCCTGGGAGAGCGGCTGCGTGGGGAAGCCCGGCAAGGGGCAAAGGACCACTGTGGGCAGATCGAGGGCCATACCTGTGGATACGTGGAGGCAGCGGCCCCTGACCATGAGGAGGTGCAGGCCAGCAGCCGGGAAAGGGCCAGTTCGGGCCCAGCTGGAAGCATCCCCGATACTGGGCCAAACAGACCTGTGGGGCTGCGGGTGCCTGGGAGGGAGGCATTCCCGGAACTGGGCCCGGCCCAGCGCCTGCAGACTTGCAGCTCCTCTGTGGCCCATGCTCCTAAGATTAAGTTGCAGAACCCAGAAGAGACCTTTTCCCTACATTATCAATCGTGCTATTAATAAGCTGCATTTCTACAGCACTCTCGTTTGCAAGAAATATCTGAAGAATACAGAAGAATACAACAGATGCATGGCGGTAGCTTATTCACAGGCCAGGAGGGATACTCCTTGAAGTGACTGTACCATGTTATTAGCCCTAGTCAAGGGGGCGCCCTGCTTTCTGGCAAGGAGGTGGCGCCTTTGGCCTGTGGCTCGCACTGTGCCAGGTGGCACTCTGACACGGCGTATCCCGAAGATGACCCTCGCACAGCACCCTGCGTCCCCACCGCTTCCCGCCCACAGCCTTGTGGTCACACTTCAAAGCTGACAGCTAGACTTCTTCGAAGTGGGGTGGGGAGGGGACACTGCAGGAGCCCATGAGGGGGGCCGTGGCCTGGGGGGCTGCCTCCCTGCCTTCAGGACTGCAGGAACGACAGACACCCCGTACCGCATCCTAAGCAAATCAGGGATGTGCACACAGGGACTCAGCGCTTTCGCTGCACAAATTTAGCCTAGTGGAAGTGGTGCCCAACGCTTTCTACACACCTGAGAGGAAACGGGAACAGAGCTGCACCTGCAACTCCTGCCATGAAGGCTCCTGCCGTGCTCTGCAGCCCCAGCCTGTTCTCTCCACCCTGGAGAAAACATAAGATTTCCAAGGAAGACGCTCTGGCTTGGATCAGGTGCAGAAAGGAAGATGCCACGTGAGGTAAAAATCCCCCACTTAGGACTGAAGGAACGGAACGAGATGGCAGGTGCCGTCCCTGCACGTCCTCGTGTGGCCCAATCTGCCTCCACTGACCTGCTGCTTCCTGCTCAGATCCTCTTCCCTGCTCTTTTGCTGGATGGCCAGTCTTCCCCCCACCCCTGCACATGCCCATTCCTTGCAGGCCTCCTTTTCCTGGATCAACTCCCATTCTGCAATTCCTCATTTGCACACACCGATTAAAAGTGCTGTGCTCTTCTTAAACTTGCAGTGGCAAAGCTGAGGGGAAAGGAATCCACCCCCTCTATGCAACACAAAGCCTATATTTCCAAAATGAATACCCTACAATTCAGCCAAACAGCTTTCCAAAGCGCATCACGGGGCGTAATCAAATCACGATGAGGAAGGAGCAGCAGCGATGCTTCAGCAGCACAGATGCAGCATCAAGTGAACCTGCCGCCCTGGCCGTGGCTGCAGCCAGGTTTGGCTACCATAATGAGGGGCGCAGCGAGCCCCTGGCGCGAAAGGACTGAGGACCGATCTGTGTGGTGTGGTCAGAAAAAGGCACTCTCCAAATTCCGGTTTTGCCCTCCCAGGACACCCGGAAGGCCACCACAAAATAATCAGAATTTCCCATCAAACAGGTTAATTTAAAGACAGGTCGCTCAGTAAATCTTTCCAACACATTCAGACCATCCATTTCTCTTTAAGACATAATTAACCTTCAGTTTGGACTCATCAAAATCGAAAGGAGAATCAGCCATTTCCTCTTGAAAAATTGGTCAAATAAGAGCACACAAGATTCAGAGATACCCTCCCCCCTGAACCTGATTGACACCAAGAAAAAGGAAGTGTCACATTTGGACTGTCACATCAACGTATTATCCACTTCCCCCTTCAGCCTCACCACCCGCCCCACATCCTGAGCCGTGTCGGCAGGCCCAACACACAGGCTGCAGCACTGGGGAGAGCGCCCAGGAAGGGCTCTGGCCCGTCTTCGTGCAGCCGCTCCCACTCCCAGTGCGAGAGAAAGAGGGCTGGAGCGAAGCACCAGTGAGGATGGAGCAGCCCCACGGCTGTAACCTCAGGGGCCCGTCCGCCGAGCTCGGAAGCCCTGCAGACCAGGAAGAGGGCACCAGGCATTTTGACCCTGCTCCAGGGGGAAACACAGACACCCACACAGGTCCTGCAGGGGTCGTGTTCTTCCCACTGGGCCAGGCATGGGTTGGCTGATCCAGGGGTTTCCTTCAGGGAACAAAAAGTGTTTCAAGTCTGGTTTGGTACCAGAAGAGCTGCGTGAGGACTCTGGCGAGTTTGCTGATAAGGCAGAGGCGCTGGGACCTGCGTAACACAAGCCTAACTTTTGGGACCCACGGCATCTGAAGAGGACCTGGGCCTCACTGGCAAACTGAGCGGCCACTTCAGGCTGACGCCCACCCCCGGATCCCTGGATCCTTTGCTGGGCAGAAGGCTGGCTGTTTCAGCTTGGCCTGTTCCAGGTCCGAGCCCTGATTCTGGGCCTAAACCTCCATCTTGTCTAGGCTCAGAACTGGACCTCTCCCCCCACGCACCCACCCACACACCCACAACACAGAACGTGCGACTCACCCTGACACTGGAACCCTTGCTTTCCAAATCCCCTGCAAAGGAGGAAGAGACAAGCCGTTAGAACACACGCGTGCAAGTCGGCAGGTGCAGATTCCCCGCAGGCCCTGGGACGCCGCAGCCGCCCCTCCGGGCCCTTGCCCCTCCGGGCCCTTGCCTTCATGCCAGGCAGCCGGCCTGCACCCAGCAGACGCCAGCCAGCCCAGAACACGCGCCCGGTGGGACGGGCGGGCAGGAGGCAGGGGTCTGCCTGGCTCCCTCACTGGCACGCACATATGCCCTGACGGATCGTGGCCTCCAGGTTCTGCTCTGTGCTGTGGAAAGGACTGTGCAGCAGGGCCGCTGGTATCCCCGTCTGCCTGGAGGACAGGTATCCTCTAATCCAAAGCAGGTGTGGGCAGAAGGCAGGTAATCACAGCCTACTTCCTGGCTTCCAGCGTCCACCTCTGCCTCATCAAGCTACTAGTCCCTCTCCCCCCTCACACCTCAGGCAGAGAGGGGCTATTCCCAAGATCACCTGCTACTGCCAGATTTCCTGAAGGAAGGTGGGCTAGAGGGGCTTGGTGCTACGCCAGCACCAGCCCAGCCCCCAAACTCGGCGTGCAGCTCAGTGACACCTCGCTGCGAAAAGGCCGAGCGCGTGTGCTTTGGCCCCACGGATGTGGGTCTGGAGCCAGCCGCCGCCTGCCGCACACGCTGCTCCCTCTCCTGCCATTCCCGGCTCCTGCGGGCAGCGGGGAGCGCACAAGGCCCCCGAGATGCCCCGAGAACTGACAGCCTGGCCTCATCTGTGCATGCTCTGATGCCAGTGACACCCCCCCCCACAAAGGGGGGCTTTGCCCGGCGGGACCAAGGAAAGCACTTGAATCCCCATCAGGCGGCATCTGCCCCCTGGAAATCCAGGCACTGGACACTGCTCAGGCACCTGGATAAGGATATGCAGTCCCGGGGTCCCCAAAAGACCCACACGGAAGATCTCATGACCTCCCTGTGGGGTAGGGCAGACGCATTAACTGTGTGTTGCGAGGGGCTGAGGAGGGGGGGCTTATTGAAGGCCACTGGGAGAATTCACGACAGGTGCAAGACAGAGAGAGGATGGGTACCCGGGGGGGGGGGGTCGATGCAGGCCAGCAGCTACTGGACATTCCTCCACAGGTCGCCAGCGAGGGGGCAGTAGCTCGAGGAGACCTCTCCGCAACAGAGACGTCGGGGAGGGGGACGGGACCCTCTACGAAAGGGCCAGGCCGAGCGTTTTAGGAGCGTGCACGGGGCGATAAGGAAAAGGAAGAGGAAAGGGGGCGGGCGCGGGCGCCTGGCGCGGCAGAAGCAGCGAGAGACTCCGCGGGGGCACTCGGGGCCGGGCAAGGTTAGCGCGATGTGGCCCCCTGCATCTCTGCACCACCCGAGCGCCGG